ACACACACACACACACACACTCTCTCTTTCTCACACACACACACACACACACACACACTCTCTCTTTCTCACACACACACACACACACACACACACTCTCTCTCTCTCTTTCTCACACACACACACACACACACACACACACACACTCTCTCTCTCTCTCTTTCTCACACACACACACTCTCTCTCTCTCTCTCTCTTTCTCACACACACACACACTCTCTCTCTCTTTCGCTCTCTCACACACACACACTCTCTCTCTCTCTCTTTCTCACACACACACACACACACACACTCTCTCTCTTTCTTTCTCTCACACACACACATGCTATTTTCCCGTTTATTACTGTGAAGCTGTTTCTAATTGTAGAATGCTATAAAAATAAAAATGACTTCACATATTTTTGTTATGCCAGATAGTGTATTTAGTGCTGTAACTGTGTGCTGTTTATTGTGAACTCTCTCGTGAGTCTCTCTGAACTCTTCATGTCAAGCTTCAGACAAACTTTCTTCAGGTGTTTGTTTCAGAGCCTGGTTTGGGCCACAAACTCTTTGAGTTTGAGTGAGTTGAACATTTTGGCATTGGTGGGGAATAACAGCAGACAACAGACATTTAATTGTTTGATCAGAATTATTTCTAAGCATAATTTAGCAGTGGCTGATATTAGGATCGTGTCAGAGCGTCTCTACTAAACTCTACAGCCTTGAAAATCATAACAAGCGATGTCTGACTTGGAAACTAAATATTTCTCTCCTTAAATATGAAGAGGTCAAGCAACAGATTAATGAGTTAATCCAAATTTCACAAAAGGATTATGGATGTAGTTATAATATAAGTCAGACACTGAAGTGAGTTGCTGTTTTTGTCTCTTGTGAGGAAGATTCATTCACTTGTTTTGTACACAGAGACATTTTGATCAGATTTATTTAAATGTTCATTTATGTAACTTTTCTTTCTATTTTAAAGATGTTTTCTTTGGATTGTTTGACTACTCAAAATACAGGAATATATAACTTAATTAATTTGAGTTTCTTGCTAGCTAAATTTTTTCATATATGAACATAAATCTGGCTCTAAATCTCTCTTTTCTTTATTCAGAGTTGATCTAGACGAGTATATGGAAACTAAATCTAAAGTTCTGTTCATTCTAAAGCAGTGAAAACTGCATCTCTATATTCATCACAAGTGTCCTCTTAAGGTGTACATTTAGGCTTTTGTTTGTTTGTTTGTTAACCTGGCAACACATCCTGCTACCAAAAAAAAAAACATTACTACAGTTAAACCATGGGAACCACAAATTAACTTTGGTTTTGCTACACTAACCATAGTTTAACCATGATATTTGAAGTAAAACTGTGGTTATACAAAAAAAACATGGTTACTACACTTTTACTATAAAAAAAGTATTTTTAAATTTTTCTTAAGGGACTTTTATTTGTGTATTTATAACTGTGCTGCCTTGGTTTGATGTTTTGTACTGTTTAAAAAAAAAATTTTTTTAAAACATTCCCGATCTGAATCAAATGATTCACGAACTCGCTTCGAAGTCCCGATCTGAATCAAATGATTCGCGCTCCGAAGCCCGATCTGAATCAAATGATTCGTGCTCCGCAGTTCCGATCTGAATCAAATGATTCACGAACTCACTCCGAAGTCCCGATCTGAATCAAATGATTCACAAACTTGCTCCAAAGTCCCGATCTGAATCAAATGATTCACAAACTTACTCCGAAGTTCCGATCTGAATCAAATGATTCGCGTTCCGAAGTCCCAATCTGAATCAAATGATTCGCGTTGCGCAGTCCCGATCTGAATCAAATGATTCGCGTTCCGAAGTCCCAATCTGAATCAAATGATTCGCGTTGCGCAGTCCCAATCTGAATCAAATGATTCGCGTTGCGCAGTTCCGATCTGAATCAAATGATTCACAAACTCGCTCCGAAGTCCCGATCTGAATCAAATGATTCACAAACTCGCTCCGAAGTCCCGATCTGAACCAAATGATTTGCACTCCGAAGTCCCGTTCTGATTTAAATGATTCACAAACTCTCTCCGATGTCCCGATCCGAATCAAATGATTCACAAACTTGCTCCAAAGTCCCGATCTGAATCAAATGATTCACAAACTCACTCCGAAGTTCCGATCTGAATCAAATTATTCGCGCTCCGCAGTCCCGATCTAAATCAAATGATTTGCGCTGCGCAGTCCCGATCTGAATCAAATTATTCACGAACTTACTCCGAAGTTCTGATCTAAGTCAAATGATTCGCGCTCCGAAGTCCCGATCTGAATCAAATTATTCGCTCTCCAAAGTCCCGATCTGATTTAAATGATTCACAAACTCGCTCCGAAGTCCCGATCTGAATCAAATGATTCGCGCTGCGCATTCCCGATCTGAATCAAATTATTCACAAACTCGCTCCGAAGTCCTGATCTGAATCAAATGATTCACAAACTTGCTCCGAAGTCCCGATCTAAATCATATGATTCATGAATCTGAATCAAATTATTCGCTCTCCGAAGTCCCGATCTGATTTAAATGATTCACAAACTCGCTCCGAAGTCCCAATCTGAATCAAATGATTCGCGCTCCGCAGTCCCGATCTGAATCAAATGATTCGCGCTGCGCATTCCCGATCTGAATCAAATCATTTGCAATTCGCGCTCCGAAGACCCGATCTGAATCAAATGAAATGATTCTCACTCCGCAGTCCCGATCTGAATCAAATGATTCGCGCTCCGCAGTCCCGATCTGAATCAAATGATTCGCGCTCCGAAGTCCTGATCTGAATCAAATGATGCACGATATGCGATCCAGTTGGAGAGCTTCTGCAGTCCACAACACGCATTTTCATCAAGAATAATAACCATTTTGCATCAATCTGGTTTAACTGAGTTTCGAAAAGCTCTGTTTCACCATCACTACGTGTCGAAATTCAAGAATGAATGGCTCTTTTAAACTGGTTTTTGCTAGTGAATCGCTTGAACTGAATGATCGGAGTCATGATTTTGAGTTTGAATCATTCGGAGCGGTTCCAGCGTAAATGACTCACTCAATTGAATCGGTTCGTCTGTTTCTCTTGTTTTCAGTCATGTTTGTATTTACAATGTTTAAAGTGGCAGACAATAATAAATATTCTTATTAGGAATAAAACTGCCTCATTTTTTAACTGTGCATAGCTGTAGCTGAATAATTAGGCCTACTACGCTGCTGTATTTTAATGTTGGTCATTGGTGGTACTTGGAGAGCCAAATATTTTCTCAGGTGGTACTTGGTGTAAAAAGTTTACTGGTTTAACTGATTCTGAGTTTTGAAAAGCTCTGTTTCACCATCACTACGTGTCGAAATTCAAGAATGAATGGCTCTTTTAAACTGGTTTTTGCTAGTGAATCGCTTGAACTGAATGATCGGAGTCATGATTTTGAGTTTGAATCATTCGGAGCGGTTCCAGCGTAAATGACTCACTCAATTGAATCGGTTCGTCTGTTTCTCTTGTTTTCAGTCATGTTTACACGACACTGTCAGCACAACTACTGGCTCAGCTCGCTAGTTTTATCACATTAACTGAAAGAAGCGAAAAAAGTATGATGCTTACAAATACAATATCCATATTTCCATTCTGAAGATAACATCCAACACAAATCTAGAACATATTCCGATGAGGTAACTGGTTTACTGCTAACTAGTGAACCACTCCATTAATATGAGGAGCTGCAGCTCAAAACACATGTTAGATGGAAACACTGCTTTATGATGGAGTTTGTAGCTTAATTCACTATATTTGAAATAGTCTCAGCTGCAGTTCAGTTGCTGACAGTTCAATAGAAATCAGCTGAAAGCATCCAGTCTCTCAAACCATTGAAGTGAATGTTTATCAGTGTATATTGTAATAAATATTTGAGAAATGATTGTTGAGTCTATATAGAGTGATAGTCAATGTAAAAAGAGCAGATGAACACAAAACAGTAGAACAACATCAAGTTAAAGAGGATAAACTTTATAATTCAGCTGAACTGTGCTCGTGTGTTTGAAACTCTTCAGCTCTTATCTGTTCTTACTCCACACATCTATTAAACGTGCAGTTTTCTAGAGTATTTCTTTAACTTCTCAGGTAATATCAATGGTGTGACCGATTTCAGATGCGGCCAAATGACAACAACAGTGTTACATACGCATATATTTAATTGTTTCATTAAAATTATTGCTAGGGAGTATTTAGTAGTCGCTGAATATTAGTAGGGAACATGTCAGCGTCTATTTGACGTCTGCTATTTCAGGTCGATTTCTGAAGTGTGGATCCGTGCACACTCTAATGGCTAATATTGCCCACAATCCATTGCGCTTTGACGAATGATTCGGTTCAGAACTACAAACACGAATAAAAAGCGTTAAAAAAACACGGCGGATGTGTGCG